CTAGGTTCCTATAGTACTGTGTGCACTCTTACTGTTTAGCACTTATCATTGCATTACAATAGGGGGGTTTTCAGTGAATATTTTACTTATCTCTCCTTTCCCAAAGCTTGGGACAGTGCCTGACACAGAAAGAGATGCCAAGATGTAAGTCCTGAATTCTCAGCCGCATTAGTTACTAGTTGGGAGCCTTTGGATGACCTTTAGTGTCAGGTAACTTACTTCATTATATTAATTCTAATCTTCACAGATATTCTTAAAACTAGGAAGTGGTGGTGCTGGGATAGAACCCAAGTATGATTGTGCAGCCTGTGCTCTTTCCACTGCATCACTGAAGAAAGTCATTGAGTCACTTCAAGACCAGTCTTCTTATCTTTAAATGGGAGTGATAATATCTTGACTGCCAGAATCTAGACTACTCTTTATCAAAGTGTCATGTTACAGTAACTCCTAGTTGACTTAGAATTACTATCTCTGTTCTTTCCAGGTCAGCTCAGAAGTTTCTTAAAATGAATCAGAAAATAGTGTCTATTTCTAAAATAAAGTACTTGGGAAGGGAGATTCTTCTCCTTGATGCAAAGGACAAAATAGCTTCTTAAGGCTCTCAATGACTCGTGATGGCAGAGGAGGCAAAGGAAAAAAGTCAATTTCAGTAGAAGATTTTGAGGAGAAGTTGGTAATGGAAAGTATAGGATGGAAACTTTGTTTCTCTACTACAAAAACAAAAAAACAAACAAACCTAGAAAATCAGAACTAGGATCACATCAAGAAATATGAAGAAAGCCAGATCATTTGACAAACCCTTCCAACCCATTCTCCACGCTGTCCCATTAAATAGCATATTTAAACAGGAATCTTCGCCAACTCTGCTAAGAATCTTAAAAATGCACGGTCTCTGCAGTAGAACTCACTGAAACCTGGTAAATACTAATATTATCTAACAGCCCAGCAATATAGAGGAAGAAGTTCCCAGGCTGGATATAATGAGTAAGAGAAGCAAAATTGTTTCTTGCAGGTTCCAGATTGTTGCCTGTAGTAAATCTTGCCTCATAATCTAAGTCCTCGTAAGGCTGTGAACAACGAGGGGTTGCGGGGCGGGGGGTGGGGGTGGGGAAAGGCTATTAACAGAGTTGTAAATCACAGGCCCCAGGCGTGCAGCTTCTGTAGCTCCTATCCTTAGGCTGGCTTCAGAGAGGACCTAATCCCCCCACCCCACCCCCACGGGCAGAGTTGAGTCAGGCTAGGAGCTGACATGGGGGTAGGAACTTGGAACTTACACTTCTGGTCTTCCTTGGCTCCCATTTTCTATCACGTGTTTAGAGATGTTTAGTCCTTTGCATATGCTTGGAACAAACTGGTAGCATTTACTATGTGTCCTTATTCACAGCCAACATAAACACTGTAACTTTGCTGAGGGGAAGTTAAACTGAAAGTCTTGGCAAGCAAGGGCACAGCCCACAGCCTGTGGAAAATACAAAGAGCCATAGCTGGGGAAAATAGCTCAGCAAATGGCTGCTTTGAGGGAAAACCTAGTGTACACTTCTAGGAGATTCAAAGTTCATTCACTGACCCTCGCCTCTCGTGTGCCTCCTCCCTCCGCCTTTACCTCGGACTGTAGACAGTGAAGGGAAGGGTGGGGGAAGGGAACAATCTGGACGCTCCCGGCAGGATGCTAAGAAAGGTGACCAGAAGGGGAGTTTTGGGGGCAGAGAGGTGGCTGGTGCAGAGGTGAAAGGGAAAGACGGTGGGCAGACCGATAGAGGTGAGGGCAAGAGAGTGTCGGCAGGGTCGGGGCAGGGCTGGAGGAGGAGTGGACCAGAGCCAGAAAGAGGGAGTCTGAAGAATAAAAGGGAGAGGGGGTGATAGTCCAGGGCTGGATCCAACGAAGGCGGATACTGAGTAAGGTGTGGGACAGGGCCGCACTGGTCCGATGGACACAGGAGGGTCAGCCATGAAGGGGCTGGCTCAGAGAGCGGACGGAAAGGACCGAATTTCTAGTTTCGCGACCCCTTGGCGCCACCCTCACTCGCCTGCAGGATCCGGGCCCGCATTGCCGCCGCCGCCACCACCGCCGCCACCGCCGCCATGGCTCTCGGTTGCCTCTTCTCAGGCCCCCGCACCTCTACAGCCTGAGTCTGTCCACAAACACTATTGCTGCCAGGCCTCTCCCCTCCATCCTGCCACACCTCCTCATTGGTGGAAAGGATAATTTCCCCTAGCCAATCACTCGTCCTAACACCTGACTCCGCCCCTCAGTCCCAGACCTGGGGGTATGCGATTGGTCAGAAGTGATAGAGCTCTCGCCGCCCCCCTCCACCTCAACAAATTCTGTTGGCGGAGGTAGGGAAGACGCCCCTGACTTGGGTACTCTATATTGAGCACACGGGGAAGCCGCCCCCGAACCCAGAACCGGGATTGGCCACAGGCACAACCGCGGCCCCACCCACTGAAGAAAGTAAATAAGATCCTGCAAGAATGTTGCAGTAGCTCCGCCTCACCCACTGCGTGAGGGGGTATGGCTAGCACTGGGGGCTGAGCCACGGAAACATTGTCCTATGGGGCGGGGAAACTAGACCAGACCGGGTGTTGGGGATAGGGTTTCTCTTTGGGGGCGTGGTTTATGGATCCTTGCTTTCCCGCCGACGGTTGGCCACGTCACGTGACATGGGTTGGAAGATGGCGTCTCCCACAGACGGTAAGAGCCGGTTTAGGGACCCTTCGCCTGCAACCTCCTTCTGTGCTCTCCTGGGAACTTCCACTCTCCGTCTGACCCTCGAACTTACATATCTTTCGTGGGCTCTCCTTTCCCTTCCACTTCTTTTCCATGGGAGGTGGGTGCATATTCAGTTCGCCGGTTCTTCACAGCGGCTCTGGAGGTGCCCAGTTTCTCTGCAGTGTACCAGGCGGGTGGAGGAGGGCACCCGCTTGGGACCCTTTCTGGGCAAAAGGACGAGAGTCGCCTTGGTCCTCCGCCCTGGTCCGCTTTAGTACGCTAAAGCCCCATTTGGGTGAGGCTGAGGGCCGAGGAGGAAATACTGCTGAGGAAAGGAGGCGCCTTAGTGTAGCTTTCTCCTCCGGGCGCCCCATTGAAGAAGGGTCGATTCTCCTCTTTTTGAGCATCCGGAACGATTCTCTTAAGCGCTTGCTAGGGTTGGTGGCTGACTTCATCCCGGGATTGAACCGCAAGAGAAACGTGATTCTCTCCTGTCTCCTTAGATTGGGACCGTTGCCCTGGCGGCTAAGGAAGAGACCCTCTCGGTCCCTCGCAGTGAGAGTCCCGAGGAAAACGAGAATTGAGCTTTTTAGCGTAGTCATGCACACGTCTCAACCTCTGTAGCTTCTGCTTTATGTGTTGTTGTTTCTTAAGGCTGAGTGAATGAACGATTTCTGCTTATATGTTGTCTAAGAGGCAAGTCATTTCAGATAGTAATTGAGTGGTTTTGGTATACCCACAGGGTTTTTGCGCTCCGTTCTGCTTTAGGGTTAGGATCTTGCAGTCATTTCTGGACTCACTTAATTCTTGCTTCGACCACCTCCATCCCTGCGTCCATTTCACTGATAGTTAGTTTTCTGTCAAACAAAGGTATTTTGTGTTTGGAAGGAATCTTGGAAGTTCGTTTCAGGAATGAGGAAATTGAGGCCAGGAAAGCTATACTGAGATCCTACTGTATGAAAGGTGTTATTCTAGGTGCTTTGGGAAAGGAAAGGATTAATCAAACATGTAAACACTTTTGCAGTTTCAGGTCTCATTTAAATGTCACCTCCCAGAGAGTCTTTCCCAGAACACAGTATCTGGAGTTGCCCTTCTTCACCATTATTCACTTTCTCTGTACCTTCATCGACAGAATAGTTATTATGTTAACTTTGCCCTTTTCACACCAGATTGTAAATTCCAAGTCTGTCTTGTTCATAGTTGGATCCCAGGGCTTAGCACAGTGCCTGGCAAGCAGTAGGCCTTCAATTCACGTTTATTGAAAGACTGATTAGATATATGCATAAATAATAAATTACTTAGTCTTAAGTTTTAAGTTTAACTGAGTCTTAAGTTTTTTGAGCACGGGTACATACTGTATAAGAAATTATGGGTGTTGGGAGTCAAAAGAGATTATTTTGCCTAGGTGCTCTCTAGTTAAAATGTCCTTCCCCTCCCCTCAGGAAAAAAAAAAGGGCATTTAAAAAATCAACCAAGGGAATGGGGAGTTATTGTTTAATGGGTACAGAGTTTCAGTTTGGGAAGGTGAAAAAGTTCTGGTGATGGATGGTGACGATGGTTGTTGCACAACAATGTGAATGTACTTAATGCCACTGAACTGTACACTTAAAACTGATTAAAGTGGTAAATTTTATGTATAACTTACCGCACTTTAAAAAAAAACCAGCCAACTGATAGAAGTAGAAGTAATTGCTATTAAAATTTTTAGCTTATTACTAAGTTGTCTTTATATTTAAAAGTTTTGTTCCTTATGTTTGATTTTTCCCCTGTCTTCTCTCAACTTCTTTTCCTCTCTTTGGCCAGGAAGAATACTGGAAATGTATTTTTTTTTTCCTTTGGTCTTTTAGCCATATCCACTCTCACTCAATGTGCACTCTAGATTTTTTAAACTTTTCATGCTCATCTTTTACAGAGCTTCACCCTCTCCCCGTAATATTTTTAATCTGACAAAATCAAGTTGAGCACTTTGAACTTAAATTTAGCTAGCTTTTTACCTAGCTCTCTCACTTCTATTTTTAGTGTTCCACCTGTTTCTGTCTTTAAGATTTAAAATTATCACCATTAAATTATCTTGCTATGAAACAAAGTTTAGGTCATTTAGTGTTTCTCTCTTTTTTTTTTTTGCTACGCGGGCCTCTCACTGTTGTGTCCTCTCCCGTTGCGGAGCACAGGCTCCGGACGCGCAGGCTCAGCGGCCATGGCTTTTGGGCCTAGCTGCTCCGCGGCATGTGGGTTACTCCCCGGCATGTGGGTTACTCCCGGACTGTGGCACGAACCTGCGTCCCCTGCATTGGCAGACAGACTCTCAACCACTGAGCCACCAGGGAAGCCCTAGTGTTTCTCTTTTTAACGCTAAAATTGCTGGGACATCTTTGAAAAGGAGAAAATTGAAATCTAAGTAAAGCCATTAATTACTTAATGTATGAGAATAACGCTCACAGTAGAGTCTGAGTTATGCCCCAGATTGTGATATCATAGGGTCACACTTGTTGGTTATTGGATCCTATCCTCTTTTTTTTTTTTTTTTTTTTTGGCGGTACGCGGGCCTCTCACTGCTGTGGCCTCTCCCGTTGCGGAGCACAGGCTCCGGATGCGCAGGCTCAGCGGCCATGGCTCACGGGCCCAGCCGCTCCGCGGCATGTGGGATCTTCCCAGACCGGGGCACGAACCCGCGTCCGCTGCATCGGCAGGCGCACTCTCAACCACTGCACCACCAGGGAAGCCCGATCCTATCCTCAATAAATTAATTTTGTTATGGTTGAACTTTCCATCAGTAACATTCCTTGGGAATTTGAAAATTGGCATTTTGTGTTTCACACAGCTTTTTTTGGTTTGTTTGTTTGGTTGCCATTTTTGGATGCTTTAGTTAAGGCAATTTATTAGAGTTGAGTTCTTTCCCAATTAGAATGCTATTGGAAATTCACTTAAATATATAGGTTCAGCTAACATCCATCTTCTCATAATGATACAATAAAAAGAAAAGAAAGAATAAAGGAAAAAAGATTTTCTCCTTTTGATGAAAACTCTTAGGATTTACTCTCTTAACTTTCCTGTGTTTCATACAGCAGTGTTAGCTATAGTCATCATTACACCCCTAGTACTTATTTACCTTATGACTGGAAGTTTGTACCTTTTGACTACTTTCTTCCAATTACCCCTCTTCTTACCCCCCACTTCTGGTAACCACAAGTGTGATCTCTTTTCTATGAGTTTACTTGTTTGCTTGTTTTAGATTGCACATATAAGTGAGATCATACAGTATTTTTCTGTCTCTGTTTTATTTCACTTAGCATAGTGCCTTCAAGGTCCATCCAGGTGTTGCAAATGATAGGATTTCCTCATTTATATATGGCCAAATAATATTTCATTGTGTGTGTGTATTTTCACAATGTCTTCATCCATCAACGGACACTTAGGTTGTTCCCATGTCTTGACTATTGTAAATAATCCTGCTATGAACATGGGGTCCCTTAGAATATTTGGGAAAAAAATTTAGTTTACAGAAAAGCACATGTTGACTAATTTTATAAATATGTATGTTTTCTGGGGAGTGAGTCCATAGCTTTTTTTTTCAGATCTTCAAAAATGTGGCTTACCCAGAAAACGTTAAGAATCACTGTTTATATCATTAAATCAACCAATTTATGCAGCTAATTAGTATACCGAGCACACAATATGTACTCAACAAATGTTAACTGTCATTTTTTTTTTTAATTAGTTTATTTGGTTGTGCCAGGTCTTAGTTGTGGCAGGTGGGCTTCTTAATTGTGGCAGGCAGGCTCCTTAATTGCAGCAGGCGGGCTCCTTAGTTGTGGCATGCAAACTCTTAGTTGTGGCATGCATGTGGGATCTAGTTCCCTGACCAGGGTTGAACCCAGGCCCCCTGCATTGGGAGCATGGAGTGTTAACCACTGTGCCACCAGGGAAGTCCCTAACTGTTGTCATTAATATTGAGCACCTACTATGTACCAGGGCAAGAATGGAGAGGAAATGGTGTTGAAGAATTAGGCAGGGGCTGGATCATGTAGGTCACAGTAGATGTGCATTCATGAATTTAGCTGGGAAGAAGTCCTTTAAGCTGGAGAGTGGCGTGAACTGATTGACATTTAAAAAAAAATCTGTCTGGCTACTTTGTGGAGTGTAGATTTAGGGGTTGGGAGGGGGAGGGGTAAGAATGGGAGCAGGGAGACCTATTAAGAGGCTATTGAAGTAGTCCAGGAGAGAAGCTATGGTTCCTTGG